ATTCCCATCGATTCGTTACATTCCTCTTCGAGCGTGTGATTTTCTGCTCCTTTCTGCCCTGTTTTTACGTCACGACGTACCACATCTCCTGACTCGCACGATTGCTCGGTCGGCGACACGATCTCGCGAAACGAAAAGAAAAGAGTAGATCTGCCAGCAGCGGAATTGAAACGTTTCGTCTCTCGTTTCAACGCGCCTAATTGCCCTTTGCAAGGAATAATCGAGGGCCGACTGACGAAAGTTGCGAACTCGATCACGCCCCGAGATTCGAGCCGATTTATTCCGAAAGTCGGGCCCAGAGTTCATCTATTTTCTTTCGAATCGAGATAGTTAACTGAAGATTTTCAATAAATTCACAGACAATGGTGATGTACAACGCGTTTCTAACTGTGTAATTTACCAATCCAGTTAGTATGATGAACATTGTTTAGGGAATAACACGTTTCTGATGGCTGTAGACAACTTTCAAAATTAATGATAATGAAATAACTTTTTTAAAAGCAAATAAAAAAAAAATATATATATATATACAATTTTGTGTTATAAAATCAAACAATATCCAACTTTTAATCACTATTAAAGAAACGAGTTACGTTCAAATAATATTTTGTAATTTATAATTCATTCTTCCCCAATTGGCGTATGTGGGAGGGATTTAAAATAATTATGGCGTACAAGTCCATTGCGTCGTTGTATTTTAGTGTTGCGATTAGTCTTACATTTTTATACAATTCAATATTATTAGAGCTTCTTGGTCTCGACGCGGTAGTGCATCGTTATTTATTGACGATTTTATTATAGTTCAAGTGTCAAAAATCGCGTCCCAACATATTTGTAACCAATTTTTAACCAATTTCGTTTCATTTCCGAATGAAGTTGAGTTTGATTACTTCGTAATGCTGCCGATAAATGCGATATATTTCATATCTTGAGCCACTCTCAAAATGAAAATTTTCGTTCTTCTTAATTAACGCCCAGCTATAGAATTCTCTGTATATACGAAATCTTGGCGATGTTCGAAGCACACACGTTGTTCATTACAAAATGAAAGGATCACGTAGAGAAATATTTAAATATTTGGATTCGCCTGGACTTTGGCCACTTTCGAAAATAAATGGCTCACATAATCGGTCCCACGTTCTTTCTCTCTCTCTCTCTCTCTCTCTC